AGAATTTTAATATAACTGCAAGTTAATTTGTAAGTTGAAAAGTTCAGAAATTGTGAATCATTACATTAAATCTAAATTTAAACAAACTACAAATTGTAATATTCTCAGTTAGCATTTTCTTACTTTAATTTTTGTATGTAAACTACTGGGGCTATGATTGATTGTTGTTTAAACATTTAAATACTCATATATGTATTCGTGTGTAATAAGCACCTATAAAGTCATATGACCATTTTTAAAAGCAAATACAGGGTCGGCAAGTAATTTTAGGTGGGGTCCGGATACTTTTGAAAATTTTTAACGAGGTCCAGAAAAAAATTCATATTTCTTACAAATTTTTTATTTTAATTTGGACTCAAATTTAATCTGCTTACTAACCATTAAGAACTCAAAACACTCACACAATTGTAAAATACTAGAAAAAATTATAAGGTTGGCACTCAAACGTAAAAAAACATTTTTTAAATAATTTATTTAAATAATTTTATACTTTCAAAAAATGTTTGGCGGTCCAGTATTTTACCTTTCGCGGTCCGGACCTGGACCGCGGTCCGCCAGTTGCCGACCCCTGCTCTATACTATTCACTGGTACGTTCGAAACTCGAATATTGTAGCCTTATTTGGCACCCATGTTATCAGATATACAGTAACCACTTGGAAAGAATACAGCGGCGTTTTCTCAAATTTCTGTCTTTTCGTCTTGACAATTTTTATCCTGACAGGGGATACAATCACCAATTACTGTTACAAAGATTCAGGATGCAGTCGCTGAATACTAGAAGGGTGGTTGCAAGTTTATCTTTTTTATTTTCATAGCATTGTTGTTTTTCAGGCTTTAATCTATATCTAATATACTTACGAGTTCCGAGACCTGGCTCTCGTGAGGGTTCACTGTTTTATTGTCGAAGTGCTAGAACAAATGTGCTTGTAAAATCTGCTGTTTATTTAATGGCTAATAATTATAACCAAGTAGCAGATCAGTGTGATTTATTTCATTGTAATTTTAATGATTTGTTAAGAATTGCCTCCGATTACTTCAATAATTTTCAATATTAAATAAAGGTTTTGCTTTTTCCTCTTTGCTGTTTATTTATTTTTTATTTTGTTTATTTATTTGTTTTCTTTATTTATTGTACAGTAGTATGCTTATATTATAATTATCTACTTATTTTGTCCTGTAAATGGAATGTTTTCTGTTGGGTAATAAATGCATTATTATTATTATTATCATTATTATTAATAATATTAATCTAAAATTATTACTTTTTAAATCAAATTAATAGTCGGGACATTTTATTTTTTCATTTTTTTAACTACACGCCGTCACTGGGCAGCTTTCGAACTCGGTTGTATATGTGCATTTATCAGTATTGCCTATTGTTACCTTTCTAAACTACGTATACGACACTAAGGAAGTATCAAATAGCAAAACTATAATGAAAAATAATTTCAAAAACACAAATTCCTTTTACATGACTTGGCTACAGGTTATTTTGAGTCACTATATCTTTAGGGGGCGAAACACTAAACGATAAAAAAAGGTCAGGTGTTTTTAAGAAATTTTTTTAATTGTTTTATAATTTATTCTAAGTAAAATTGATTTGTTTCAAAATAATTATTTTTTATGTTTTATGTTTTATAAAATGTGCATAATAAAAAATAAATATAAATGTGTACTGATTTGATTCGATTCGAAATATTTTTTTATGGCACTGTGTTTAATTTCCAAATGTCATTGCGAGTAACCTCAGACATTAACCTAATCTATATGAACTACAAAATACCAACACACCTGTTGCGATATGATAATGGGAAGCCAGGAGGCAAAGAACAAACGGCCGATTCACCGATTCCTTTTATTACATTCATTTTAGTTTGCGGTTTACTGAAATTTAAATAGAATTTGTATAGTGCAGTGTTGTGTTTTATTAAGTTTAACTAATCAAGAAATACGAGTTTTGCCCATTGGTTTTGTTTGAGGTTGCACTACACTGTTCAGCAGCAGGATACGAAAATTAAGGGAAAAAAGTCATCAATTTCACCACAGAATTTGGGAAAACAAACTTATGGTATGTGTTTCAAAATTTTAAAGGTACTCTGCGTTTAAATATCAGCTCCATTTAAAGTTACACTCTGTATAATGGGCGTGTGTAATAGACATAGTAGAGTAAAGAGGGGTATAATGGAATATCAAAGACCACAACAAGTTTTTGACAACTACAGACAACTAGTAGAATAAATACTAGATATCGTAGACGAAAATAATAATTCTCAGAGGTACAAGTCCAATGAAAATTGATAATTAAACCAACAACTATGCGGTACTTTTTATTATTTTGTTTCAGCTAACAATGGCACATCAATATTTTTTACAAAAAAATCTGGGCTCGTCCGGGATTTGAACCCGGGACCTCCCGCACCCTAAGCGGAAATCATACCCCTAGACCAACGAGCCGATGATTTGTTTAAACAAAATTAATTTGATTCAGGTGAAAGTAGGTTAACAAGCGCCTACGTAACACAATTTGTTTTGCTCTTGTATTTACTTGAGTTTTATCTCCAAATCGATCAACAATTTTAAAAATGTGGCGATAACGAATCAAGTTTAAGTGGAACAAAATATATAATAGGTACTACTTCTAAAATTACGGATAAGCGTCCAAAGACATACAAACTAAATGCTAAAAATAGAAAATTCTAATAAATTAAAATCAACATCAAATCAACAGGCAGGATAAAAAATTAAACAGCTTGCTTAAAAGTTATTCATATTTCCCAATTATATATTCCAAACATTTAAATCAGTTATAAAAGTATTCATGAAATCAAAAAGTCAGAGGATAAACACAAGAATTTCTCTTTTTTCAAAACAGTCAATGTTGTCCATATACACGGGTAGCCTGAAGGCTGCGGAAGTTCAACAAAAATGTCGCAAGATTCTGGACATAGGGAATTGTTCCTGAACCTTTAAAAAGTCGATTCCCGTTGCGCACAAAATCGGATCTGCTCCTTTTTTTGAATTATCGCAAAAAAACTGTTTTTTTCCTTATTTCCTGAAAATGAGCTTTTTTAGGGTATTGTAAATAAAAACATTCTCTTTTTTGAACAAAATATTTTATTGGTTTATATAATCGGTTTAACAATCAAAGATTTGTTAACAAAAAACACAAATCGGTTTAACAATCAACAAAAAATACAAATTCGAAACTGAAGTTGGCTTGAGTGAGCTCACACTGGCACAAATCCATTGCAAATATCTGACGAGTAAAGTGAACATTGATTATCGAAGACATGGCTCATAAACAATAGTTTACTTATATATGACGTGACGAGAATTCAACAACTGCTTTTTTCAACTGAACGATGTATGTAGGATCTTCTAAAAAATTAATCTTATGTCGATCCCAATATTTTAAAAACTCCCGGTGTATTGATTCTCCAGCTTGTTCTGACCACAGACCAAATCCATCGTTATCAATAGATTCTAGGTATTGTTTCAAATGGGCGATTACCACGTGAAGTTTCAAGGTTTCTGAGAGTTGAAACCAGTGCTTTCTTTAGATCTTCAACAAGTGATTCCACATCAGCATAAACTTTTTTTGTGGTAAAACAACACTCAACCAGTTTGTTCATGGCCCTAAAAGCTCCTACAAAAGGTAGTAATTTGAGCTACCCCACTTCAGCACAAATACCCCCCACAACTACCACAAATACTAGTTGGAAATTTGGAATCCACAATCGAAAATGTCTTACAAATATACAGTTTGATAAGTTTTTCACACAACTCACTAATTCGAAATTTCTTCGCGTTTGTTATTCTTCAAAGCGAGATTTTTTGACCACAAGGCATGATAATCTTCTGCCTATTTTCTTCGTGACTACACTTTACACTCGGATGAGCCATTATCAAACCAAATATTTCTGAAAATCGACAAAAATGGAGAGGATCGTCTAACCTATGACGCAATAAACAAATGCCAAGGATCAAACATCAACAAATAGTTACGTACTGGCATCACGTGACCCCAAAGCCAGCGCGGTCGATTCAAACTATTCAGCGAAGTTCGAAAAATAGGGAGTCCAACTCATGCTAATTAAATGGACCGTTGTAAGATTTGACAAGTTCGTTAAGTTCTACAAAAAGCAGTAATGAGGCACAAGTAAAGTATTTTGTATCAGATTATCGATGACATTTAAAATTCCAGGCAATTAATACAATGCAAGCGAATTTTGAAAAAAAAAAAAAAAATTCTGGCGAGTCAAAAAACAGTTTTTTGCGATAATTCGAAAAAAGGAGCAGATCCGATTTTGTGCGCAACGGGAATCGACTTTTTAAAGGTTCAGGAACAATTCCCTACGGCCAGAATCTTGCGACATTTTTGTCGAACTTCCGCAGTCTTCAGGATACCCGTGTATATATACAAAAAATTGGAGCGATTCGAATAGCGGCTAAAAAAGTAACAACCTGTAGATTATTTCGAATGATATTAGCATATTCCGGCAATTCCCAGAAATGTGTTAATTTGCTGAATTTGAATCGATTTGTCTTAAGAAATATCTAAAACAAATGAGATAACACAATATAAAAGCTTTTTCATTAATTATCTCAAAAAGAAAACTCTTATTTTTTATTTTTGGACAGAGAACTATCTGTAGAATTTTCTCAGTATGCCACATTTTGTCTTAATATCCTACAGTTTTGAAAGATAAACAGTTTCATATTTACGTCCCGATTTTAACTGTTATTATTATAATTGGACAAGTTGGTATTAAAACTTTTATGATATTTTTTTGTAATCATGATGGGATTTACACTATAGAAAAAAAATCATGGATACATCGACCTTTCTAAAGTATGACGATGTCGTATGGAAATTATCCTACGTGCGTCATATGAATGGAGATTGTAGAACGTATGCATAATTAAAAAAACTAACAGGTGACGCAGCAATAATTGCTTCTAATTTGTTTATTTACATGTGGCACTAGTTCGCCTTCGCGCCTCGACCAAAAAGGATCGCGATGTTATGTCAGTGCTAGACAATTATTATTAAATTATCTGAACAATTTTGTATGTAAGACATAGAACATCGTTGAAGTTTCGTGTTGATAGTTATTTCGAAGGTGAAAATTGTTTTTGTTTTACGAAAACTACTCTGTATTTGATGTTATTTGGTCCTATATGTATAGTGTAACTATCCTTGCAAGTAAACTGATAATAGGTAGGCAATGTTTATATTTATCATTAAAATAGTGGTTATGGCACCAATTAATTCTACCATACTCATTTATCTATAGCTTAACACCAGTGGCGGCTCATAACTTCCATACTAGGGAGGCCGTAAATAGTTAAGTACAAAGTATTGAAAAAACAAATCAAATATAATTGAGTAGTTTTATTTTAAGTGCTATTGCGAAAATGTGCTCAACATTACTTTTTTTAGTGAAAATCCATTCTTCTGCTTTTATGCGAAATAAACGTTTCAATTACTTTTTCATTAAAGTTTAGTATTTCTCGCACTATTGATTTTTCAATAGAGAGATTGCATTTCAAGTGCTGTTTGTCTTTACAATCCAATTTAAACTTTTACAACGTTTTAAAAAACACTCAAGAAGCAATGTAAGTAACAAAATTTTACACCACACCTAAACAAATTGCGTTTAATAAGAAAAGAAAACGGTAAATAACTATTATTTGGTTGCGGGCAAACTAAACAGAGCTTAAACTGCATAGTAAATACTCTCACTCCGTCTTTTATGCTGTGGGACGGTAACCATGACCACCACTGTAAACACTTTACAGCTTTAGTCTTGCGTGGATTTATACACTTGAAAATTATTTGTAAAGTGTTAAATACATTGTGTTCTTTTTGTAGTTAATTAAAAATTATCGATTTAAAAAAAATCATCGAAATTGGTCCATTAGAAGCTGAGATAATTGAAATTTTTCCGAGCGTCGCAGTTTTGAACTCGAGAATTCAGATCGGAGTAGCTGTGTGTTTGCTCCCCCCACCACTGATATTTCATTGATTTCACGCGGTCTTGAATATCTTTGCGTGACATTGCGTGCCGTGATTGCAAATTTTGAAAATTTATATCTGGAAAGTACTCGGAATGACAAACTTATTAGTTCAAAAAACAGCCCCTATACCCTTATAGTTTTGCTGTAAATAATGGTTATTTTTAACGGGCTATAACTCCGAAAATAATGGGCGGATCATCAGTTTTTTTATTTATAAAATTGAAATTTTAATTAAATTGAAAAAAAACACATTAAATTATTGTAATTGTTTATAAGCGTGAAAATTGCGAAAAAAACAATCACCACTGCTCACCTAATCGTCCGATTTGAATTTTTCAATAAGCATTTTAAAGCTTGAGAGCTCTTCATTTTGTGGTGAAATTTTCAAGTATTCAAACGCTTTAGATTTTTAGAAATTTGATTTTCAAAATTTTTTTATTAAAAAAAAAATTAAACAATTATTATTTAAAATGTGCTGATTTTATACACTAAGAAGTTTAATTGGGAAAAGTATGAAGATCCTAGGTATTATTTAAGTGTCTGAAAAAAATTGACAAATAAACTAGCATTTTTTGCAATTTTTTAAATGATTTTTCCGAGTTTTGCAACAACAATAATTATTTTTTCGAATTGCAACTAACTCTGTCTTGTTCAAAATTTAATTACAAATTTTTTGCAATAACAATTAAGCCCACGTTTTATTTGCATAGAAAAATTATCATTTCTGATGTTATTTAGAAGCCATTAAAGCAAAAATCTCCGATCATATGCGCTTTACCCAACCCGAAACAGATACCGCCTAGACTAATAAGATTATCTTAAATATTTGTTGCGATTCATTTTAATTTTATGTTGTTTTCTAATTGTATAAAAATAGTATAACATGTTACAATAAAGTTCCTTTATGTGGATGAAATTTTGCTGCATTGAAAAGTTATGGCCCTTCCACAACTTTTTTTATTTTATTCCTTTTTAAGAAGATGTATCTTCAATGAAACATGACGAATGAGAGTTTTTGAGGTAGCTGAATTTAAAGATGGAAGTCGCTAAAAACCCTTTAAATAAATAAATATATTTATTTTCCCTTTAACAAATTATTGCATTGTATGGGAATATTTAGAATGTGGAACAAAATAATATTTTTTTTGCTTTGTATTAATTTCGTACACTTGTTCATTTAAAATATAGTCATCTTTATTTTTAAATGCAACTCATAGAAGAACATGTTTGCAATAAAATTTTATGAGTTTTAAAAAGTTCTCAGCAGTAATAATACTAGGCACTCCAACGATACACTTTAATATTCTCTTTTGTACGTATGCCATATGTTAATCTGCAAGAAACTAGAGCATGATAAATTAATTAACTGATCTGGCAGTGAAAATGGTATATTTTCTAAACAAATAACAAGATTATTTCAATTTTGAAATGAAATGGGCACGGTGATTATGCCATGTTAAACGTTCATCTAAAGTAATTTCCAAAAATTTAACACCTTGACAGAAATTTATATTACTAGGTACTGCTTTTAATTGCGGTATATATTTTTGTCTATTATGAGATCTAGTTAATTGTGTTTTATTACGGTTATAGGTAAAGATTTGTATCTGCATTGCTACAACATTAAAATACAGTATCGCATTTAGATTCCAGGAATAGTGTTTTATCATATAACAAGAAAAGCATTTACATTTAAAATATCAAACTCTTTTGTGTATAAAAGAAACAGGGTGGGACCCAGTACAGAGACTTGCGGAACTCCCACATCCACTTCCCCATAATCTGTTCTAATGTTATTAACATCTAAATTAGTTGCATACTTGTACGTTGACATACTGTTTCCAATTATTTGAGAATGGAATCCAGTTGTAGGCCACACCATGTACACCATATGGCTTCAAGTTTAGATAACAATAGTTTTTTGTATGTCGAAAAATTGATTTCAATTTTCTATTGGAGTTTCAGTTATGGAGAACTGCATTGTTGGGGTATTCTAGTTCAATTAAAATTCATCTTATTGCTTTTGTAGCTAATTAAATATTATTTATGATTTAAACAAACTGAATTCTTTTCAAATAATTGTTTGCATTTTAAATATAGCCCTTTGAAAGAAAAACTTAATTGTAATCACAAGCACTAAAAAAATTAACAATACGATCTATTAACTCAGATATACAAACACCAATGTCTATTCCAGACAATAAATGCAACGAGTCCCTGCTTTGTTGCAGACCCAAGTAATTCCTTTTGATATTTACCTCCTAAACAATAATGTGGTTTTCTTGATATTTCTAATATTGTCTTATAAATGCCAATAATAGGTTGATACAAAAAAATAAGATTCTTAAAATGTTACGTTGTGCGACGTGCACAACTTTGTGTGGATCAAGCTGCTGGCTGTTTTGAATCTTTTCTTTAAATTCAGGACAAAACCGGAACAGATGTTGTTTTCAAAAACAAAAAAATGTTTATTTTGCACAACTATAAAAAATATTACTCTCAATTAGAGAGTCGCCTTGTAAGTATATACTGTGCCTCCCGAATGTAGTGTACAAATTCAATAAAACTTAAGGAATTTATTAGAAGTCGAACATGCAAAACAGCGTTATAAAAAAAATGTGCCAGGATCAGGAAAAAGCCGCTCGGGAATTGGCTCTTTTTGCATCAAATATAACTTAAATGACAAGTTGTGACGTCAATGACAAATTTTTTAAATGACAACCCCAAATTTTTTCTTCGGATTCTAAAAGAGGATAATTTTTTGAATATAAAACACTAAAAAAATGGTTGTGTCCCATAAGAAATTTTTTTCATAAATTATGTTTTTTGTGCAATTTTTTCTGCTTTTTGCTTGTTTTTTTAATTCCTTTCCTTTCCTTAGTAGTCTTTTTACCTTTAAACTGTTGAAAATGGTTTTAAAAAATGGCAAAGTTAACTGAACAAGATAAAATTGAAATACTCCGTATGGTTGGGTTTGGTGATAGAACGATCACTCAAGCAGAAGCAGCTTAGTTAATTAGTCAAATCCATCCTAATCGTCCTCCCATTTCTCAAATGCTAGTCAGTAAAATTGAAGCAAAATTTAGGGAATTTGGTCAAGTTAGAGACTTGCCTTGTCTGGTCGTCCTGATAGAGAAGAAAATGACCAACTAGAAGTTTTGCTTTCCGTGGAAGAAAATCCACATATTTCCTTATCATACTTTGTTGCTAGTTTACACTTGTCGAAATCTGCTGTTCATTCAAAGATACAAATAGGTATCATCCATACAAAGTTATTCCAGTACAAGATTTATCTGAAGACTATTTAGGTAGACAAAACAAATTCTGTGAACACATGCAAATTTGTGTAATCGAAATATTAATATAGGAAAGGGCATTATTTTTTCCGATAAAGCTAAATTTTCTCTACATGGTACTGTTAATAGGCAAAATTGTTGGTACTGGGCAACAGAGAACCGGTCGTAGATGATGGAGGCTCATAGTGGTGTGTAATAGTAAGAGCAAGAGTAATAGACCGACCCATATTTTTGAGCAGTGACAAAGATATCTTGAATTTGATTTTATTTCCCAATCCATTGGAACCAGACTCCATTGACGAAGAGCTTGTTTTTCAACAAGATGGTGCTCCTCGCATTATGCTGCCCCTGTGCGTACATTTTAAATGAAACGTTTCCTATTCGATGGATAGGAAGAAGAGGATCTATCGAATGGCTTGCACGGTCGCCAGACCTAACCCCATTAGATAATTTTTTTTGGGGGTTACTTAAAGTCTAAAGAGTATGCTGACAGACCAGATAATTTGGAAGCGTTAAAAGAGAAAATCCGAAGTGAAGTGCGTGCTTTATAATCTCTGATATTGTCAAGCATGGAGTACATTTTGCACATTTAGTTTAAGGAAGTATATCGGGTTTACTCAAATGCACAGATGTACTTGAAATTTATATAGCGTATTAGCCAGTGCTTCCTCTGTGCGTCATATTTTTTTGAATCTAGATTTTGAGATATTGTTGTTGAAAGTTGTTCATTTTAACATAGGTTTATATGGCGAAGATGGACGGTGCGTCTCTTTTTTTGCCCATAACTGAGAAAAAAATGTAGAAATTGTGAAACAAAACTTTTGCATATATAGTACACAGTATTATCTTATTTTTGATGTAAACCTAATGTAAGTTTTGAACATAGTACAGCTGTATTACTTAGAAAGAGAAACCAATAATTGCATTTCTGTCTGACTTGAGGATTAATGTGGCAACGTCGCAATCAGCTGACAGCAAGGAGGGAATACATTTTTCCTAAATCCCATGTACATTGTTATCAACAATAAATTATCCACAACAGATGATTTTTTGTAATGTTTTTAAAAAACTAGATTAATTAAAAAAGAATAGGAAGCTGTAATATATTTGTAGGAATAAAAAATACGGTTGATAAATCCTTTTAATATATTTAATAGTTTATAAAAACATCGTAAGCATTACCCAGCAATATTTAGGGTTTCATAAAGTTTTCTTTACTTGATTAATATAATTAGTAATAATTGAGATAAAAGCATTTGTACAGAATAAAGAATTAGTTATAGTTGCAAAACTCTTGTAACATTACTAAAATAGAGATTAAAAACACGAACAGTGAGTAATGTAATGTAATTTCTATCACAGAACCTTTAAAATTGCATCCAACATTTTCTTTGACTTGGACGAGAGATTTCATTTTTTTAGAACTAAATTAACATAATTCTCGTTGTTTTGCCAATTCACATGATTTACGGATTTTAAATAAAGGATACAAATCTTCGCGAGGATAATACGATATATTTGCTATATATAATAATTATATTTTACACAGTTTACACACAATACATTTTTGAATGCGTAAGCATTTTTACACGAATTTGACGCGCAATATCTCCGATGTCCGAGGTTCGCAGTGTCAATTATTATTATCGCTGTTGCATAGCATAGGACCCCCCTGCGCTCCTCACTTCCCTCGGACCCCGATATACCTCCTTAAAGTATGTTAATTGTTTGAATTTAAAGTTATTTATTTATCGTTCTCAATAAATTTCTTATGTATCCCAATCACCTTTTAGTGTTTTATACTCAAAAAATAATCCTCTTTTTGAATCTGAAAAGAAAAGTTTGGGTGCCATTTAATGAAATTGTCACTGAAGTGATAACATCTTCAATAATGTCGGAAAAGACTAGGAAAACATGGAATTTAATTAAAACCTCTCGACGCGTCTCAGCGATTTTGCGAAAAATAAATTCCTTAAGTTTTATGCAGTTTATTATACATTAGATTCGCTACGCACTGTATTATCCCAAACACTATACTCTGCATATATTTTACAAAAGTCATTGCCTTGTCCTCTGCCCCAAAAAGAAATCAGCGCAAAAAAGGCAAAATAAAGTTACAACTCCGATTCCATTCTAATTTATGACGGTGTATAAAGTTACAAGACGATAATCTCATGAATTCTTCTTTCAGCCCCCAAAGAAGCGTCCAAATTGCCCCGGCGACACGCCCCGAAGGAACCATTAAACCCGGCGCCCTCCCGCGGACAGTGATGGATTAGTGCGGACCAAAACAAAAGACGAAAATATGTCACTCAGGCATCTCGCCCTGCTGACTCTAGTGATCTGCTCGGCCGGCTGCTGCGACCTGGAGCAGTTCTTTAGTGAGAGACAAGTGAGTGTGGAGGAGAGTGCATCCTCGTCGGAGATCGTATTTCGAGGAGTGACGGTCGCAGAGGCGTCGCCGGATGTGCCGGGCGTCTTCACGGCCTACTTCGAGTTAATAAACACGTACAAAGGCGCCGATGCTCTGAGCGCCTGGGGCGCGAACAATTACAGGTACGTCAGAATTAAATTCCTCGATCCATGATTTCGCGCGTTCCGCTTCAGCGGGAATTCTGCCAGAAATTAATTATTGACGCTGGACTGTCAGTAGAAAATTACTGGCAAGGGCCAATAGAGCTAGAACTGACGTGCAATATTCTATGTAGTTTAAGGAATGTTTGTCTGTAAGCCATGCTTTCTGTTACTATTTACTTTTGACGTTTCATTCATATTTCAAGTTGTAAGAATCACAATAGTAACATATTGCTGCATATTATTTTACTTTAAAATACAGAGTGTAAGAAGTTTCACTGCCACTACTTCAGCACAAGATAGAGTAATCATAAATGAACATAAAAGTTGTATATTACAGAGGCGTAAGATTAACAGTTTTCAAAAAACAGCGAGTATTAATATTGGGGAGTTTCATCACTACGTGACAACAGCGCGTAACCTGCTGATGCACACCACTTGTACACGCGGCAGACTTGTCCTACGGCAAAAATGTAAACAACTATTATTGTGAAACATTTAGTAAATTTCAATACAATTGTTTTCCAGTTTTTAAATAAATAAAATAAAATGTATCGATTTTGTAGTACGAAGATAGTATTGTGCTCGAATTTTGTAATTATGAATCTCTTAAAACAGGAACTTAACTTTTAATCAAATTACGTATTTGAGAAATATATAATTAAAGTACTCAAATGTTCACGTCGTCCAAATAATCATACATATTTAAAATAATTTAGGTACTTACCAAAAAGCAAAATTCAGTAATTTTTAAAAGCACAAGTACAAAACAAACTAGAACATATGCTCAAAATGTCCACCACCATTTTCGATGCACGCAGGACACTTTCAAATCCAATTTTCGCGCTCTCGCTGGAAAAGGAAATAGCGGTACGCAAAAAACACTCCGACACGGTCGAATCCAGATACCAACTGAATTGCGTATTGGTGGTTGATAGATACCTTAGTACCTCGTGTTAACTGCCGCACCGTTGTCACATTGCTCGATATGAATTTTATCGAATTTTAAATTTATTACAACGCTAATTATTTTTAAGCTTTGAGAAGTTCAAAAAAGTGATAAACATTGTATTTTATGGTATTCTATGCAGTTATGTCAATATTCCTTAATTAATCGAACTTTTGTACCTACATCAAGTTGGAGATTTTGATAATTTTTATTCTCGGAAATGGTTGAGCTTAAGACCCATGTCATATAACGTTTTTTTGTTTATTTTAATGTATTCTATCGTCTGTTAACATTAAGGCAGTCAAACTTCTAACACCCTGTATAATATTAAGATAATTCAGATCAGGTCTAAAACTTTCCTAAAATTTTCATTCGAAAAGTCATATACAGGGTGTCCCTTAGTTCGACTACCAAACTTTGCCAAAATGTTACAGTGTAAAAGTTAATACAAAAAAAAAACAAGTAAACTAAGGATCAAGCCTGACTCCTTATTATAATATCTTCAGGATAACCTGTTAACAATGTTTTTCCTTAAATATTATTTAAAATAGTTGAAGTGTCACTACCAAACTCGGTACACATTTTTGGCTATTGATGATTCGTGATCACATAGACCCGCCAACCAATGAATTGCGATTATAGACTCGGCAAAAAAATTAAAGGAGGAGAAAATTTTCCAATTTTTTTTAATGACTTTTGAAAGATATAACTTCGTGAATAATGGTCGTATCGAGAAAATAAAAAAGCCCTTGGAGCTTGAAGATTCTAGTTTTGATATCTTGAGATGAAATATTTTTTTGAGAAATAAAAAAAAAATAATGCAAGGCAAAAATTTTACAATTTTCTTTTTTTTTTCAATATTGCACATGAGCTCATAAAAACTTTTTCTGGCTTAATCAATGCCAGGGTCATTTAGCCCTGATTCATCTGCTTCAGTTTGGTTTGTTTTTACTTTCTGTACGATTATTACTCATTGAGATATCGGCTATTGAGTGAAGTCATCTTTTTTTTATCATCGATATTTCATGAACCAATGATCGTAGAGCGAACGGAAGGTGTTTTATAATTAAAAAAAAAAATTCTTAACATTTGAAATTTCTTTGTAAAACTAAAAAATATAACACAAAAAATTTTTTTTAATTTTGAAAATTTTGATTTTTTTTTCAAAATCGACTTTTTTTTTATTTTGAATTTATTTTCGATATTTGATGAGCATTTAACGCGAAATTTTGAGAAAAATAACGTAAAAAAATTTGTTTCATCTTAATCAGTAATTGATATTTAAGCAGCAATAAACCTGCTCCTTTAATTTTTTATAAAACTTTTTTTTTATGATTTTTTTTTCTCAAACATACCAAAAGGTCCTTGAAGAGAGTTGATTCAGGTTTCTAAAACCCGCCTTCCGTTCGCTTTACGGCCATTAATTAGTTCATCAAATATCGATGATAAAAAAAAAGATGACTCTTCAGTCAATAGCCGATATCTCAGTGAGTAATAATCGTAGAGAAAATAGAAACAAACCAATTTGAGCTGATGAATCAGTCTAAGAGACCCTGGTATTGATTAAGCCAGACAATTTTTTTCTGATGTGCAGTTTTGAAAAATATAAATTTTTTTTATAAATTTTGCCTTGTATTATTTCTTTTGATTGCGCCGAGAGTGATGCTTAAAAAAATTTTTCATCTAAAGATATCAATACTAGAATCGTCAAACTTCAAGAAGCTTCTTTTATTTTCTCGATACGATCACTATTCACGAAGTTGCAGCCTTTCAAAGATCATTAAAAAAATTTGGAAATTTTATCTTCCATTTTTTTTGCTGTGTATTTTGATAGAAACATGTTCGTTTTTTCTTCAAGTCTCTTGGGGTATGTAAAATTAGGTCCACTTATATGAAAGAGTGATGGTAACTGAAAAAATTATTGCTTTTGAAAAATTTTGCTGAAATACATGGTTTTCAAGTTTAAATTTTATTGGAAAACCTTAGCAAAATTTTTCAAGAGCAATAATTTTTTCAGTTACACTGGAAATTTAGATTTACATTTTCCAAGAAGCTAAAAAAATTGACAGGCTCATAGGGGTAGAAAGAGAATGGAATTCTAAGACGAAAAGCCATTTGGCGCTTTTTTGTCTAAAGCACCCTTAATTAGTTAGGAATTAAATAAGGTAGCCAATCAGGAACACGCTTTAAGGGAATGCCGAGGGGTAGGAGGTCAGTAAACAGGCGAGCGAGGTATCTAGGCATTTTTTATTGTTTACCTCTTTTCAGAGGCGGCCTTAGGGGGTGGCGAGCAGGGCAATCGCTCGGGCCCTCGCGCAATAACCCGAGTGGAAAAAAGTTTATATCTAAAACTTTACTTTATCCTTAGCTATTAGTTATAATATAGGTATATAACAATAAAATAAAGTTGGTTAAATCACAGTAAATATATTAATACTTAATAAGGAGTAATAGGCAACAATATTTCTCTTTTAGATTTACATAATGATCGATATCAAAATCAATTAATTTATCAGTGCATAATAATATTTTTTATAATTTGGTTGTAAAACATAATTGAATAAGTTCATGTATATATTTTTTTAAACAAGCTTTTAGTGACGTCATTCTATTTTCGTATTCTTCTCAGCAAATCCTTACATTTGATACCCATATCATAGGGGTGATAAAAAATAACTGGTCCGCTATCTTTGGAAGTCCGCCATATTAAATTTAGAATGACGTCACTTAGCTAACCATGCATTGTTATCCATATTAAACTTTTATGCAAAATTTCAGCTCAATCGGTTGGGGATAACTATTTTAAAATTCAGTTACAAGATTTGACCCATACTGACATGGCAAGTTAAATAAAACTTTGTAAAAATATGTTTGAATCTTGTGCCATATTTTATCATTATTAAAAATCTGTCGTATTTGTATTTGTTAACTTTTAAAAATTTCTTATATTTGAAAACTTAAAATTTATAACTTTTGCATTTCTCTTAAATCATCAGAAATATCTACTCGTACATTCGATTTACGTACATTTCACAAAGAACAAGGGCCTCGCAAAGATGTGCCGCCCGGGGCCTCGCAAAGTTTGCCGCCCGGAGCTTCGCAATGGTTAAGGCCATCCCTGCCTCTTTTATTCAGTCATCAACATCAACATTATCTACCACTTTTCTGTAGCTTTGCAATTGCCGACAATTATTTTTATTTCACATAATATAAAAGAGCTCTTGGAGATATCAATTAATTGGAAGTTCAAGATGGGAATCGAAGTGGAGAGCTGAAAGTTCTATAATTCTAAACTGAAAAGAACTCCAGATAGCAGACCTTATTTCCGCCGTAACGAACATTATGTTATTAAACTCTCAGGAGATAAAAAAGGAATTTTGATGGGAATTTTAATTGATAGCTGATTCGGTTGAGCAGTTTGCTGCAAATTAACGTTTTCTGAAATGTTTGGCAGCTATAAGCTGTAGGTAGTTTTTGAAAACTATTTAAATTATCGACCCGTAATGTAAATAATTATTTTAACAGACAAGCAAGTAAAAATCGTTTCACTTAAGTAATCTACAGATTTTTCTACATATTTCGAGTAAAAAATAAGTTGTGTCAAAAAACTTCGTTACAATGATTAAATTAATCGCGTTACGATACTCCGTAATTAAGTCTTTGCTGGTAAACTTTTGAGTTTAATTTTATGAACAAACCTGATTATTAAAAGAACCGGTGTACGTCCAGTGTGCCGTGAAAATTTACCAAGTGATTTTAACAACCTCTTAACCTTAGCATACTAATAGCTGTTTACACTTTTAAACCGTTTAATAAAGCACAGCTGTTCTAGCTATTATAAGTTTTGATAAAACACGTAAGAGTACAGTTAAGCGTTTTAAGGCCTCATTAGATATTAAGAACTACCCTGAGGCTTCCAGACCCCAAGTCTAGACATTTAATTAAAATGCTCACCTGATGAAATATATTCTTTATTATTAATTAATTAATTCACAGCCACACACAAAAAAAAAAGTTGGGTATACTTTTTATG